GGGAAGGGAGGGGCTGGCAACACCCCAGAACCAGCTCCTGCTTCCCCCGCCTGAGAAGGAGCAAGAGGACGGGGAAATGCATGTAGTTGACAAGATTAATCAATAAGCCCAGACTTAACGGTTAATCATATTATCAACTACATGTTGACATCCCTATCTTGGACTGCAGGTGATAGTCTTTTGATGCTAAAAGGAGTTGGTTTGTTGGGGAGAGGGGGTTGTTTTGCATGATTTTTTGATGGCTTGTTCAAAAAACTGTTTTACTAAATCTCCATGGTAAATCCCAGATCCAAATGAGTAAATATTGCAAATTAAATGCAAAATTGCATAATGCACTATTTGAGTTGCATTCAACATCCACCATCTTCCCCTCAGCCCAAATCGTATTACAGAATTTAACAGAAACAAGACATACCAATTCCTATAAAAACTGCAAAACTAGCTAGCTTCTCTATAAAGTTAGTTTGTTACAGTTGTAAATAATGATTTTAAAAGTCCAATATCTTTAAAGCAAGAACAATCTTCCACAATCCTATTATATGGAGTTTGAACTACAGAATCAGCTGCATCATCTGGCAGTAGATGTGTTGGTTTTTTTTGTTGTTTTTTTGTTGTTTTTTTTAAAGAGTCACATGATTCTTTTATAAGTGTTCTTCAATCTAAATATAGGTGTTATCACCAACTACCACTATGGTTTAGAATATAATGTACGTTATAAAATTTGAACATAGTATTTTAAAAGCTATGTTAGTCTCTATGAGGCGTTAGTGCCACCTCCTACTGGCACTGCTAGGCAAAAAACTCTCCAGCTTCAATCCCTTGAGCATAGACGCACCAAAGTGGAGCTGCATCTACTTGAACATGTATTAACTTTGTATGTTTTCAGTTATGTACAAGTGCCATGGGCGTCAGGATAGCCACTTCTTGCTATAAGAGTGAAGAAAACAGCTCACTAACTCAGTATGAGCAGATTTGAAAGGCACTGCCTTATCCCCAGTTAAGTGGATGATTACCAGAGCATTTGTGGAAGAGATGATGTGCAACAGTTAAGCAATAAAAAACTGCTGCATGGGAGAGAAAGAGGGGAGGACTGGATGTAGGAAAGTAGTGCTCTGTTGACATGGTTGTGGCTCTATGCCAAACTGCCAGGGATAGGAATTTTTTTCTGGTGTTTCTTTTAATTTCATTTTTAGTGATAAGCTTTGAAGACAGTGCAGGTTGGACCTCCCAAAACCAGGACTCTCTGGGACAATGGATGTTCTACATCAAGGAGTCCTGGCTGAGCACCAGTGGGAAGAGTGCTGGTGTCTGGGAGGCCCGCAGGACTAGGGCAGGGACTTGATCCCCAGCAGTATAGCAGCGCCAGCACCGGTAGCAGGCTGTGGATGCTGCACCCTGGGCTGCCAGGGCCGCAGCAACCCAACAGATGGGGTGGCTGGAGCCAGCAGTAAGGAGAGGCAGTGAACTGGGGGGCCGGAAGCAGGGGACTTCTCCTGGCCTGGCAAATTCCCTCATTTGGGACTGGCCAGATTCCAAGGGTGGATATCAGATGTATCCACAGTACAGGTTGGACCCATCTTCATTTTGTTTCTACTAAATCAGTACAGTACATCTCCATTTCTATTTTTTAAAAATAATGCTACTATCTTTTTCCTGCCTTTTTAAAAGGTCACCCCAATAGCCTCTATTATGGTAACCCTACCTTCCTGCAAAGTACTAGAATTGTCAGACGGGAAGATCAGATGTGCCAAAACAATTATGGCATGAAGGTTATAACTTCATGTTATTCTGTCACTATAAATATTGAAGCTTTACTGCTTCTACACAGTGCTGCTGTTAAAAAAAATAAATCGTAAAGTAATTAGATTTCTGACAGAGCTGTAATACTGCATAATTAATGGAAGCTTACTAGAGTGGTATAATTGAACAGACACGGAGAGGTAGCTTTTAAAAAAAACAAAACAACCCACTAATTATAGTAATCTCTTCTAGAACATTTATGATTCCGCTACCTTGGAATATTTAATGAGCATACCATAAGGTACACTTCATGTGCCTGAAAACCATCACCTTGTACTGAAGTGTTTAGCATAAGTATACAATAGTACTAGCAAACAAGCATTCTTAACGATATAGCCACCTTAAAAGACATATAAGATTATATATTTCTAATCATTAGAATCAGATAGTTAAAAACTATAATTCAGACAACAGTACAAGAACTGGAATGAATGAGGAAAAAAGTTCCCTGAAAGTGGATAACATTTCCTTTAGGATTGTGGGACACTAACCCCTGCGGCGGGAGGTCTATGCAGACAGAACAGGCTCTCTCTAATATTCATACATTATAATATCTGCTATGAAGTATTAGTTCTAACTGACATACTCTTTTAAAAAGATATGCAAGAAATTATATTATGAACACAATGTGGTAGACAGGAAATGAGTCTAACGGATTCTTAATTAAATTTTTTAATTTATCTTCATTGAAAATGGAAGTTTATTTTCTAGTCTTTTTTTTTTTTTTAAAAAAGTTAACTGTGTTCTAGAGCTGTGTTTCCTTTTGTCGCATTACTGCAGAGAAGCATTTAAGGTTTACTCCTTTATCCTACCAGAAGTCAGCGTTCATAGTTGCTGGCCCACAGATACTCCAGGGGCCTGTTGGGCATAACATCCAGGCATACTAAATCCAAATCCAAAGTAAACTGACCCCTCTCAAGGCAGCACAATGCTCAATTAGGCAAGTTCATTGCTCCCTCACCATTTGTGTGGTCTCTTACTCAATGTCTCTGCAAAACTTCATTAAACAGTTCTAAGCAGCAGTGTTGTTGATAATCTTTCAGCATTTTGGGACTTGAAACTGAAGTGTCCTAGCAGGCGAATTTCTTAAAATTGCTAAAATTACAATGTTTCCGACTGTTAGTCTGACTTATGATAGCATGCCTGCAAACTTTATTGGTAAGACAACTCCTCTTCCTGCATCTGAGGGCTCATCTAGACTACGCGGAAGATTCGAAAGAGGACATGCAAATTCCACTAAATTTGCATAACTTCTTCCAATCTCACTTTCGGAAGTGGAATTCGAAAGTCAAAGTAATCAAGGTGAGTTTTTTTTGGCCCCCTTCCCCTTTTTCGAAAAGCCACTTTTCCTCCACTTTTGAAAGTGAGATCGTAAGATACGGAAATTCGAATTTGCATATCCTCTTTCGAATCTTCCGTGTAGTCTAGCTGAGCCCAGATTATGTACAGAAATAGGTCTACCTTCAGCTCTCATAAGCAGCCAAAGTAAACAGTAAATAAACATATTAGAAGCTAAGTTCAAACTCACACAATGGAAGACACCTAAAAAACATTCATATATGCCTTTTCGCACCATGATAGACTACCTCCACCCTCCATGTACTCTGCAGCAAGACAAACTCAAATTCTGTGGTGGTCTGATGCAACCCGCCAGCTCTATGGTAGCTTTAGGTGCGTTTTTAGATGGAGATTTTATTGTACAATACGTTTTCACAGTAGTTGAGTATTTACCGGCGTAATTTATTCTAACTTTAAAAATTAGTTTACAATTTTATAAATATTGAAAATTTTAGTAATGTTGTTATGATACATATGTGCCTCAATCTATCGACCCACTTTGTTCCACTATATGCAGATTGCCAGAGTGGGAAGAAGAGATGGGAATGGAAAGATCACACATTTTGAGTTGATGAGAATCAGCCATCAAAAACTGAAAAGAAGAACATATAATTGGAAACTCTGGAAGAGACAAGACTTTCAATGACTGAGCATTAATTATTAATACCTGGGAAGCAAAAGCAGTCTAAATGTGAGAATAGAGAATTTACAGCAAGAAATAAAGGAATGAGGTGTCATGTGGCTTTTAAGACCTTGGCTCACACAGTTTGGGACATAGAAGGTATGTCCATAGCAATGTAAGTCCAAGATTAGTAGCCATATCCCAGAGTTCCTAGCACTCTGCCCCCAGTGAAATGTGGCAGCTGTAGCTCTAGGACTGTAGTGCTCTGTGTGAGAATTTAACTGTTCATCATCAAGTTACACAAAGTTTGAACTAACCACCAACACAGCCTGCTGAGCTCACTTTCTTCTGTGCATTTTTCAGCTACTAGAACAAAAGGGCCTAGAAAATATGGCCTTCCCCTAGTTTGCATGCAACTATCTGGAGTTTCTGCTTCAGGAAAAACGTACCACTATTAGCAGCCAGAACTGGATCAGAATCCATGAAGGAATTAACATGGTGCTAGGCCTTTTGTTCTGCCTGCAGCCCAGAGGGAAACAAGTTAAGACACCCAAAATTCCCCTCTGTTCCCACCTCACTGCACTAGACCCCATCCTGGAGGAAGGGAGATGCTCAGAGGCTAGGGCCCCCCCAGCCTACACACCCCACATGTGAACCGGGAAGAGCAGCTCCAGCCTACCCGGTGCCCTTGGGGAAGGTAGGAGCAGCTGCAGCATGAGAAGCCAGGATGTTCCCACCCACCTCCAGGCCTGGGGGATGCACACGGGAAGGTCTCACATTTCCACAGGAAGCCTCTGTCACCAGCCAGGGCCCTCTGCTGGCCTTACCACGGCCCCCCCAGCAACAGTTGGATTTGTCCTGCCCCTTGCCACACCACTGCTCCACAGTGGGGGAGAGGAGTCTGCGTAAACACTCAGCCACAGGACCAGAGCCATGGCAGCTAGTACTCCATGGGGCAAGTGAATCACTGTAAGCTGGTCTGCTAGCTCCCCCCAGCAGTCCCTGCCCTCTGCTGAGCTAGGCAAAGGGGGCAAAGTGGCCAAGGGCTTCTCCCATGGCCTGAAGGGGTGCCAGACCAGCACAGAGACCATGGGGAGGTGCGTCTCACCCCCCTGCATACAGGCCTGTCAAGGCACGGACATGGGCATGGAGCGTGCGGCAGCCTGGTAGCCTAGCAGCCAGCAGTTCGTGACCCAACATCCGTCTGTGAACCAGCAGCTGGGAACCACTGCCACAAGCTACCAGGGGCAGCTGCTGGCTCCAGCCCCACTATTCTGGGCTGCTCAGAGTTCCCACCAAGACCTAGCCCCTGTCCTGCTGCTTCAGCCCAGTCCCTCTTTTGGATAATGCTCTCTGATCCAGGATCATCCATGGTCGTGCCAGACTATGGATGTTGCTAGAGCAGAGATTGCCAGTTTTGGGAAGTGCAACCTGTTTCTTGTCTAAATTACGTGAAATATTAATAGCTAAAGTGATAACTGAAACCGCTGACTCACATTGCCATTATGTTTCAGAACTGACAACTGAGATTAATGGACCAGTTCACTCCCCTCTACTATTACATAAGACAGATTGCAGATCAGGAATACAGCACTCCCACAATAGTTTACATTTGAAAGGTCACGTTTGAAGCCATAATGGCTAGAAATTTGACTCAAATTTTCAAGCCTGCAAAATCAGGCTTACTCTAGACAGCTGCACTGCTGTAAGATCTCCCACAGCCATGCTATGGCAACAGAAGGGAGCGCTCCCATCATAATTAAACCACTCCCAACCAGCTTCAGTAGCTACATTGGAAGAAAAGTGTCTCCTATTGACATGTTTAACTTATGTGGCACACAGGGTGTTTTTCACATTCCTGACATAACTTTTACCAGTGGCGGGCAACCCACAGGCCTCATGCAGCTCAAAGTAAACCACTGGCAGGCTGTTGGACAGCTGTTAACCTTGCATCCACAGATATGGCTGCATGCAGCTCTCATTGGCCATGGTTTGTCGTTCCTGGCCAATGGGAGCTGCGGGAAGTGATATCTCATGCAACAGAAGTATTTCATAAGTTTAGGATCCATATGGACTTGAAATATCCCTTTAATATATACTGTCTATACCTATGCTTTTGTCCACCATACTTCACAATTCTACCCAGGCTTACATTTATTGCACTGATTGAAGGGTAACACTTCTGCACTTCAGTCATGCTCTATCCCAGGGGTCAGAAATCTATGGCTCGCGAGCCAAATATGGCCTACTAGGGAGCCTGATACAGCTCTTCTAGATTCCCAAATCAGCCCATCCCAGCTTCCCTCATAGCAGGGAGCCAGTGTAAACTTCAAAGAAATGTGCAAAAAGATGCAGCAGCAGGAGTACCATTAAATAAAATACATGAGTAAAATATAAGTACAATGTGAGTACACTGTTTCATTTATGCTATTATTAAACATATCAATCACCAATAATACTAAGTTGTATATTTTCAGTCATGCAAATGGGCATCCTTTTATGATTGTTGACCACTTGTTCTGAATTTTGATGTAGTTTGGCTCTTTGGTTTGAAAAGGTTGCCAACCCCTGCTCTATCCTATGGTTACTGATATTGGCAACCAGTACCTGGATGAAGTGCCAGGAATAAAGTAAAAAAAAAAAAAAGTGAAAAAATCAAAAATTCATAGCGCAAGCGTGGCAAGTAGCGATGTTAAATATCGGTTAATTCAGTAGTCAAGTAACCTCATGACATTTTATCGGTTAGTCCTCTAGTCTATAGTCCCTGGAGGTGGGGCCAGCAGCAGCGTGGAGTGCCAAGTTGGAACTGGTCTGCGAGAGGAGCCAGTTTAAAAACCAGCTTCCCTTGTGGACGAGCTGCCTGTCACTATGTGCTGACGCTTCTGAGAAAGAGGCTCTAGTCTATAGTCCCTGGAGGTGGGGCCAGCAGCAGCGTGGAGTGCCAAGTTGGAACTGGTCTGCGAGAGGAGCCAGTTTAAAAACCAGCTTCCCTTGTGGACGAGCTGCCTGTCACTATGTGCTGACGCTTCTGAGAAAGAGGCAGCATTGCAAGATGGCAGTCGTCCCGTCTAAAGGGGTCTCAGCTCCCAGACTCAATGTGAGCCAGAACTGAGCTGGACTGCCTGCCCACCTAGCTGGCTCTTAATACACTTGAAGTGCAGAGCTGAAACAGGGATAGGTCTTGGACCCATCACATGTCAGAACTAAACCAGGCTACTGGCCAGCCGGCTAAAAATTTACTGGCAGGGAGAGGGAAATGCATGTAGTCTATAGCATTAACCTCTAAGCTTTTGCTTATTGGTTAATCAACTACACTATTACATCCCCACTGGGGAGGGCAGAGCAGGCAGCTCCGAGCCAGTGCTTGGGGAGGGAGCCTGCTTTTAAACTGTCTCCCAAGCCCAGCCCAGTGCTCCATGGTCATCCTCCTATTTTGACAGCTGCTTTTTAATGTAGTAGGATGACGTACTACATTGCAGGGAGGAAGAGGAAGAGTTACTATCACAGGGAATGTGTGCGCACATGTGCTCTATCAGCATACTGTCTTGTAAGCAAGAGGCAGGAAGCAGCCCAGCCTTAAGCAGTAGCGGGAGGAGAGGACCTCAACATGACCCTCCCCGCCCCCAAGTCCTTGCACAACAATTTCTCGCACACAGATTCCTGCCTCTTTATTCCAACAGCATAAGTATTCTTGACAGTATAGACAAGCCCTGCATTTCCCATTGTCTTTCAAATTCTCTGAAGGGCATGCATGTGTTCATTTTAAACAAAATGTGATTTAGAAAGTAGGTATGCATAAAGAAGCATGCTGTGGCTCACCACCCTAGCAACAGCCTAGAAAAGGCCAAGGGGAGGGGGGTGAACTCAACATGTGGAGTGGAGAAGTACAAGCATGTGACAAACAAAGCCATATATGGAGAGGTTGAATCTGATTGGTTTAGAAGTTTGTGTTATGTAACCTGTAACTGCCATGTGCTATAAAACAGCAAGGGGAGGGGCTCCTTGCTCGAGGGGCTCTGGCTGATTTTAGTACCAGGGGCTCTCCCTTTGTGCACATTCAATAAAGTCGTATTGAATTGAATTGAAGACCCTTGATTCTGCCCAGCACCTGACTCTCTGGGAACTGCAAAATCCCAACAGTTTCTCCATTTACATATGCTGATTCTATTAAGATTTTGATGACACTGTCACACTTACTCAGATAAACCATGTGACATACCCATCCAATAGCCACACAGTAGCATTCAGCACAAGTATTACTTATCTGTTCAATACAATGCATTCAATGCCTACCCTCTTTTCCCTTTCATTCTGCAAGGGCATCTCATCAAGGGAAACAGAACAGTCTTAAGAAATGTGATATTTGTAGCAACACTATTCTCAAAATACTGATAACACAACTCATATTATATAAAAATGTATTTTCGTTTAAGCAAAATAAGAGAACTCGTGTTTACTTACCCAGCTGCTCAAGAATGCTTGAAACTGTCCCAAAGGGTTTTAGCTCAACATCCTCAGGAAGAACTATTGTCAAATCTTCCACAGTAGGTAGTTCCTGCTAATATAAAAGTAATGTTCAAAACATAATATTTCGTGGTTAGAGATATCCTGCCAGCCATCAAGGAAATGATTTGAAACATTTTACGTTTGTGGATCGCAAGAAAAAGCTAATTCTAGTAATAATTCATTCTAATAAATGGCATTTAAACAAAATTGTTCATATTAAAGGGTTGAAATTATATTGGGGAATATTATTTTTCTGATTTTTTAAAAATACTTGCATCGTACAGCACTTCTGCATGTATATCCATTATATCTAAGCCAAATATGGTGGCCAACCCGTTACAGATAAAGAGACAAAATAGTGGTGGATACCGCACAAAGAGCCAAAGGAAAAAAGTTGAGAAACAAAAAAGCGCCCTCACCACCATGTTTCATCAAGAAAAAAAAAAAAAAACACAGTTTGCTCTTTTAAGAGCAGAGTAGGCATTGCCCTCTTAAGGCAGCCATTTTGAAGCCTGCATGGGACCCGTGACTCCGGCTCTGTCTCTTTCAGACAAACACGCTGCCCATGCTGCCCCTTTAAGAGCCACGAGTGCGGGTGCCACAATTTTTTCTTTCAAGAGCCAGGGGTTGGCCACCCCTGGAATAGTCAGTCAATGCAATTTGCATTGACTATTCCATTAGTCAATAAGGGCACCTCTGCCTTTGAAGCGTAGCAACAGCCCCACCAGCGCTGTTGCTACACTTCAAGGGCAAAAGCGCTGTGGGGAGCACAGGGCCAGAGGGGGATTTAAGCAGTCCCCACTGGCCCTGTGCTCCTTGCAACGTTTCAAAGTGGCAGTGCCGCATGGAGCCTGGAGTCAGCAAGAGAGTCTCCAGCTGATCCCAGGCAGCACGTGGAGTTTCAAAGCAGCAGCGCTGCGTGGACCCTGGGGTCTGGTCCCTAGTTCCACACGGCACTGCCACTTTGAAACATCCTTTCATCTCCCCCACCTTCTTTGATGCCTCCTTCTAATAGAGGCGGGGGGGAGAGGGAGGAAGAAGAGGCGAGCAACAAGTCCACTAGTGTGTCAACTATCCGATAGTTGACTACTCATTTACATCACAGTAGTACTGCAATACATTATTAAGTCTTTAATAAGAAAACCTCCGAGCTGTTGTCTGGCATATTAGATTAGTTATCTTAATATTTAAACAATTGTTTTTTGAAAGATGCATAGTGTGACTGGGTCAAGCCAAACTGCTACAAGAAAGCAGGTATATTAACAAGTTCCTGTTGCCCTGTTTACGAACAAGGTATACACCAGTTTAAATAAGATACCTGGAGTCAATCAAAAATCTGCTACAATAGGCATGGGGAACCTGCAGCCCCTGGCTTGCCTCCATCTGGCCACTGATGCTCAGCGACTCCTTCCCCAGCACTGGTTCTATGGCCGCCCCTGCCACTCCACTATGAGGCTGGAGCACACCAGATCCACTAGGTTATTCCGCCCCCCTCCCCAAAAGCTCAGATGTCTGAGGGAAATGTCTGTCTCCTTCTTAGTCAGGGGCCACACTAGTGAGGGTTTTTTTGTGTTTTCTTTTCATTTGTGTGTGGCCCCCAAGCTGATTTTTCTGTGGGTCAGTGGCCCTTGACTCAAAAAAGGCCAGCCCCCCTCCCCCCAATCCCTGTGCTACAGCAAGTGGAGACAGGCTGATTGGGATACCTGGTGACAATCAAGGACAGTAGTTAAAAAGCCTCCCTTTTTAGTCAGTTCAGTAGCATGCCAGGAGCTGGAGGAACAGTTAAAAAAAAAAAAACTTCAGAGGGATAGCCATGTTAGTCTCTAAAGTGCTGCTGGACTCTTCACTGTTTAAGTTTTTCCAGTTACAGACTAACAAAACATGTAGCTAGTATCATTTGGGGGGAGGGGAAGGTCCTTTTTCTTCCCTACAAGGAGGCTGAATTTAATTACTTGATAGTTGCTTTACCAAGAAGTTCAGATATTTTCAGCTCTTGGACCATACTCTGTGCAACGCTTAGGACTAAATCTTAAATCATTAAATCCAGTACTTCCTAACAAGCAAAAGCCATAAACACATGAATTATTTTTTAAAAAGCAATTTCACAAAAGCTGTAAGTGTATTAAGTTTCATATATTTAATAGGATAACAGAAAAAAGTTGGAAAGATAGTTTTCATAAATACTTACCTCAAGAGGCAATTCATCCTTTTTTTTAACATGGTAGGATGTGTTATCCTTTCCATTTTGATGACCACCACTTTCAGCAGATTCAGTTGAAAGAGAACATGAAGAGACAGAAGATGAACTATCAGAATCCGTATCACTGCATAAAACAAAAAACAGGTCAATTATAAACATCTATATCTTTTTATAAGAAAACACCTGTGCTACAGTAAAATAAAAGGCATAAGGATTATACTTAAATCTATTATCCTAACTCAAAAAAGGGCACAACAGGCCAGTTACCAGCAATGGGACAAGACAATTATATTTCTTAGATTGTAAATGTATTGGGTCTACAAGTGTTTATATAGCCCTGACTGAGGCCCCATTTTACTAGGCTTGCACTATTGTAATTAAATTTGTGTTAAGGTGTTTTAAGTGTCTATTGCTATAACTTAGGCATAAGACAACATTACACTTATTAAACTATCAGCTGCAGAGAACACAGCCATCATTCCTCTACAACCAACAAAAACATTAACATGAAGTCTAGCCCAGTCAAGCAAATGTTTGCTCCAAAAGATACTTTCAGAACATAGTGCAAAATATAACTCCCAGTTCTTACAGATAAGGAACAAGTTTCACAACCAGCAACCACCTCCTGAAAATGGCTTCTCTATTTACCTTGTCAGAAAGGTACACAAAGCACAAGATGTCTTTAAAGCAGCCAGTCCTAAGCCATTAGACTTCATAGGTAAGAAGCAACACTTTGACTTCCACACAGAAGCAGTGCAATTCAAAAAGTTTATGGTGCACAGTTATAACTCAAGTAGACACAGAATATCAGGAACCATTAAGAAAGGGACAGAGAAGTCAGAAAATATAATGCCTCTATATAGATACCTGGCATGCCTACAAGGGATGTAAAAAGAATTAAAAAATACTAACCATCTAATTGATTACAATTTAATCAGTGAGACATTTAAACAGTAATTTTTACCCCGCTAGAGGCCCATGCCATGGGAGGAGTTTAACTGGTAACTAGAACCATCTAAACTCTTACATCCCTAATGTCCACATCTTTAATACTGCATGCAAATCTGGACATCTCAAAAAAAAGATTAAAGAGGTTCAACCTGTATGTCCACCAACATCCGTGGTCCAGCATGGTTTTAGTTAGCCAGATATCCACTTTATCAAGGGTGTGGCCAAGTTTCCTGTGGTTCATACAGTTTAACAGAGAGCCATGAATGGTGACTGTATTTAGCATTAATTAATCCCTAAAATGTCTTCTAAGAGTCCAGTAAGCAATGAAAGTATTGGTAATGCTGCTAGACAATATTGACCTCCTGTGTTTTGGCAAATACTCTGGTTTGGCACCAGTCAGGTCCCGAGGGTGCCAGACTAGAAAGGTTCAACCTGTATTATAATCGAAAGAGGTTTAGTGAAGAACAACAAAAATGGTTAGATGGATGGAACAGCTTTGGTATGAGAAGTTTAAAAGACTGACTTTTCAGCTTGGAAAAGAGATGATTAAAGGAAGATGATAGATGTCTACAAAATCTTGACTGGTATGGAAAGTAAATAAGAAAATCCGACAAGCATCAGCCAATTAAATCAGTAGGTGGCAGATTTAAAACAGAACCACCACACACACAACACCATCACCCTGTGGAATGTTGTAAAGGTCCAAATCATAACAGGGTTCAGAAAAAAGCTATATAAACTCATGGAGGATACGTCCATCAACAGCTATTAGACAAGATGGCTCAGGGGTGCAACACCATGCTCTGAGTGTCCACAACTTGCTCGCCAGAAGCTGGGAGTGGATCATACAGAATAGAACGCTGGGTGAAACCCTGTTCTGTTTATTCCTCCTGAAGACTCTGGCACTGGCCACTGTCAGAAGACATGATATTAGGCTAGATGGACCATTGTAAAGCCTCTCCATTGCACAAAAGTTAGATATTAGGATTGGTCTTAAAACACCATTTAATACCAATCACTAGACAGTTACATCCTGTCTTGAATTTTTTCTTAACTGAGTTTTCACATATTCAGCATGTATGTTCAGATCTCCTCCTTTCCACAGGGAATCCCATATCTGTGAGAACGTGGAGGACAAAGCACAAGAGTACACCGGGATAACCAGAACAACTGAAATACACGTGAACGGGGCGATAACAATTTCCAGACAGTGCATATTGACAGGCCCAGGGCTCTGCTTGCTGCCCAGCGCTTCCCCAAGCCGCACAAGGTGAAACTGACAAAACCCGTGCTCAGGTCCACCGCC